GAGAACCTTGTGATTGAAGTGGATTTAACAGGTGACATCAACAAGAGATGGATTCACCTGGATTCACCTGGTCGGTCTGTCAGCAGGTGTTCCTAATGTTTTGTACACTCAGTGTATAATGCAGAAAGCTGCCTAATGTATTTCTTGTTGCACAAGGGCACGCGTTTCAAGTCCATTAGGGAAATGATGGTCAATCAATTATATAAACGTTGTCATTCCAATGCAACAAGCCTATAGGAATACTGTAGGTACTATATGGTTTGCATTGATCGACCAGCGTGTGTGTATGTGTGTGGCATGTGTGCGTGTTTGTGCTCATGTGAATACACGTGGCGTGTATGTGTGTTTCCAACCACTCACTGTTCACTAGACTACATTACATGTTTACAGCAGATAACCCCAACAGAAAACCTGTGTGAATGATCAGCTAGGCCTGTATTCTTGCTCCCCTAACTCCCTGACCTCACTTATTATTCCATCAGTTTCGCAAGCAATAATAAAACCAAGATTACCAGCATGCAGGTAATGTATAAAGGGATTCACAGATGACACAATCTACAACATAACACCATAACACTCACAATCACATCCCATCTCCACACATAACAGAGGCTAGAGAGAGAGAGAGAGAAAGAGAGAGAGAGGGAGAAAGAGAGCTCTCCCGCGTCTGAAATTTAAGAAGTGACCCTTATTTCCAATGGGAGCACTTACATCCCACTTCCCCCCAAATCCCCAGTGAATACATGATCATCCCTGAGACTGAGTCTGAGATGGAAACAACCAGCAGAGGAGAGAGAGAGGAGAGTAGAGCCTCCTCTCCTCCGGAACTCTTTTATCAATCTGATGGGAGGTGTTTTTTCTTAAGCAGGCAGCCAATATCCATGCAATCTGTAAGGCTGAGGAGAGCTAAGGTGAGTCAGACAGACAGCCCCCCGCCCTGATCACCCACTGTGCATAGCAATAAAACCACAATATGGGCAGGGTTCCAATCCCGGAACACCAATATCATCAGCTGATAGGGTGTGTGTGAGGGGGTGTAAATGTAATGTAGGAGTCCGTCCTGATATTCAAATCAAGGTAGTGAAATGAAAACATTGAGAAATATTGCCTTGACATTAGATGACATTACACTACTAATCATTAGATTTGAGGCAATAATCCTGGATTTCTGTGTGTAAACACATGAGATTTCACCAGCTCTACTCCTCTGTGGCAGCATTAGCGAATTGCATACATACAGCTCAAACAAAAGAAACACAAATAACCCTACTATTGTTGGATGCACACAAACCAGGGCACATAATACCCCAAGGCCGGAATTTATTCACAATGCATTGTGATTTTTCAGCAATAATAAGGTGTCAATCGAAGTGCAATGGCAACACACTTCCCGCTGTACTTCCCGTCACGTAGTAACTATAATTCAGAACAGTTAAAATAATCTGTTACATTACTTTAAAGCTGCAATATGTAACTTTTTGGGCAACCCAACAAAATTCACATAGAAATGCCAGTTATAGATCTGTCATTCGCATTGAAAGCAAGTCTAAGAAGTGGTAGATTGGTTCTATATGCACTATTTCTATGCTTCCCGTTCTTAAGTTTCGTTTTTGAGTCTTTTACTTTCGGTTTTGAACATCAGCTTCAAACAACTGAAAATACAATATTTTGGGTTATTGAAAATATATTTCACAGCGGTTTAGATGGTACAATGATTCTCTACACTACATTGCTTGTTTTGTCACATAAACTGAAATTAGTCTAACTATTCTAATTTTGACAATTGAAATACATTTCATACATTTTTTCATACATTTTTTGTTTCATTGAATCAGGCAGTAACAAACTATATGAAAGCACCCATACTATTAAATGTCAGATGACCTTGAACATGCTGAATAATGTTTAAAAAATATATAAGCTGGGCCTCCCGAGTGGCGCAGCGGTCTAAGGCACTGCATCACAGTGCTAGAGGCGTCACTACCAGATCCGGGTTTGATCCCGGGCTGTATCACAACCGGCCGTGATCGGGAGTCGCATAGGCCAGCGCACAATTGGCCTAGCGTCGTCTGGGTTAGAGGAGGGTTTGGCCGGGGGGGCTTTACTTGGCTCATTGCGCTCTAGCGACTCCTTGTGGCAGGCTGGGTGCCTGCAGGCTAACCTCGGTCGTCAGACGGTGTTTCCTCCAACACGTTGGTGTGGCTGGCTTCTGAGTTAAGCAGGTGGGTGTTAAGAAGCGCAGTTTGGCGGGTCATGTTTCGGAGGATGCATGACTCGACCTTCGCCCCCCGAGCCTGTTGGGGAGTTGTAGCGATGAGACAAGATTGAAAAAGGGGGTAAAAAAAATAGAAATAAAGAAATATAAACACCTCAGGCTACAATATTGTCTCAACTCAATGGCAGAGACTAAAGATCTATTGGGAAACCTAGTAAAACTTTTGTAAAGTAGCCTATCACAAAAAATGGGGATAGAATCCTATAGGAATATTTCCATCAAATGACACCCACAAAGCCAAGGGTAGGACAAAGTGCCCCTGTTGTTGACAGATTGTTGGCAGGCAGTAATGGGGTTTATCCTTCGTATGACAACATGCATCTTGAAAGATATTGGGGATGTTCTGCAATGGAGGCATCCTCACAGCTCCTGTACTGAAGTCTTGTAATAGGTGGTTTACAACTAGACCCAGAGCCAGGAGGGGATGTTAGAAGCCAGAGATGCTGAGCCAGAAGTCCTGGCTTCAAGGCATGATGCTCCCACCACTACAACCTACAGCAGGTTGCACCTCTCCGAGCAAGGACACAAGAATTGTGTGTGTGTGTGTGTGTGTGTGTGTGTGTGTGTGTGTGTGTGTGTGTGCGTGTGTGTGTGCATGCGCATTTACATTCCACTCTAATAATAGCTATAATTGCTCCTAAGGGAGTTCTTATCTAAGGAGAGTTTCACATCACTAATATTAATCTGAAAATGCCATATGTTCCTAGAAACTGTCTTCCTTTATTTCAATACACAGACTTCTCTTTGACCAATGAAGAAGGCCATTGTGCAGAAGCCATCGTACCACTAAAATGAAAGTCCACATAAAACAAACATTAGAAAACGGGTTGTTTGGATCCTGGATGCCGATTGGTTAATATGCATTACTTGTTAATGTTATAATTCCACTGTCCCACAGCCCAGGCAGGAAATTCAAAACGTCATCTACCTCTGGGAAAAAAGCATCTACACATCATTCTTCCATGGTACTATTTGGTTTGCAACAGTTGAGGGTTGTATAAACCTACCTGTCTGCCTATACGACCCGTGCAACAATGCATCATTTCATAAATGCGATCTCTCCTGTGCCAGTAGGTTAGCTAGCCCAAGAATGAACGTGAAACTAATAATTCACCATGGAAACCGTAAACACTCAGAATTCCATTCATTCATTAACCAGTGCAGTGCGGTTTATGCAGGCCTATTTTAAATCATAATTTATTGAAGTTCTTGTCTCTCATCAACATTGAATCTCTGCTAGCTAGCTACATGCCAGTGATTTGTTTAGCATACTGTAGCAACGTCGAATGAATAGAATTATTAGAATTAACGACTGGGTCAAAAAATCTGAAAATAACTAATGATCAGCCCGCTTGGGTAGCAACTTCAGAATGCAAAGGTTGTCTGATGTGGGCCTGGAGGCAAGGGAAATAATGGCTGTGAGTGGCCATCAGTTTGAGAGCTCACTCAAGAGTTATTGGCAGCCCCTAACATGGAGAAAGGAAAGCGCTGGAGTGCCATTTTAGCTGGCAACGATGTGAGTGGATGTCCCATTCTCCGCCAATGAAGAGGCAAGCACTGGCTATCACCAACCAGCGCCAGGACCATGGACAGTTCTTCCACTCGTGTGCCATCAACGGAAATGTCACTATTAACATGACCAACTGCTTATGTAGGCCTATTGGATATTATTATTTATTGAAGTTCTTGTCTCTCATCATCATTGAACCTCTGCTGGCTAGCTATATGCCAATGAATATAATTATTGGGTCAAAACATGACAAAATAACTAACAACCAGCCTGCTTGGGTAGCAACTTCAGAATGCAAAAACGAATTTACTTATTTAAAATAGTGTTTTTACTGAAAAAATGTCAGAAATATTTGTATATGTTGGCAACCGTCAGGAGGGAGTTATCACGCGATAATCCCCAGGTTCAAGGGCTTTATTGCTTTTATGAAATGGTTGCCAACATATAAGATAGTAATTACATTATTTATTTTTTTCATTATTAAAGAGTAAATTCATTTTTGCATTCTGAAGTTGCATCTTAAGCGGTTCTCATACATTATTGCTTAAGAAGTTAGCCAGCCTTCTTTCTGCTTTACAAACACATATGAATCAGCCAGGCAGCTCTGGATGGATTCACACCCACACAGACCCACACACACCCACACACACCCACACACACCCACACAGACACAGAGAGACATACTTCATTTGAAGAACATAATGGCATGATTCCATATGTATAATTCATGACATACACCTGCCTTTTCTCTTGTTTTTCCTCTTTCTGCATTCCAGTGTGTTTCTGCATGCTATGATTTTTCATTACACAGGCCTGTTCCATCCACAGTGACATTGTTCATTATGATGAAGTGGGCTTTGTTTCTCCTGCCTCTCACAAGCAGCTGGGCCAGCTGAATACTGGGTGACTCACCAGGACAGGTGTGATACAGCATCACTTCACTACACTCACAAATCTACCATGTCACTCTGACATATTCATATAGCTAACACAGGTCTGATATGATGGTCGCCACTGGCCAGTTTAGCCGCAACACTTCACCGCATAACCAACCACATCCCCTCATGAACTCTTGAGACAAATTAAAGACAATCGTTCAAAATGTGTTTACAAAGACCATTAAGAAATCTTTATTTTCAGTGCACCTTTTCAAATATGCACGCTCGCACACTACGTAATTTGTTAATATCATGTATTTTTGGGAGCCGCAAATTGTTACGCGGAGTGGAACAGGGAACCCAAGAGCAGACTCAGACGAGGAGACTGGGATGTAGTAACCAAGGTATTTATTGAAACACAGGGGGAAGATGGAGTGCAGGTCAGGGGAAATTGCTGGAAACCAGGTGTGGAGGCTGAGGCTGGAGCGAGGGGGGTTGTGACAGGGTGAGCAGGTCCGGAGGGGAATCCAAGGGAGTAGTAGAGTGGGGAATCCAGGACAGAGTAGCAGGATGACGAGACGTGGGACTGGAGACAGGGACCAGAGTCGGAGCGGCAGAACTGTAGCGGAGAGGAAAACAGCGTCAGGCAAGGAAAACAGGCACAACAGGAACTGAATAGTGACAAACGGATAGAACCGTAGACTGACTGAGCAGAGATTACGATCTGGCAGTGTGGAAGGACTGAGTATTTGTAGAGGTCTAGATTATGGAACAGGTTGCAGCTGGTGGGGATCTGCTCTGACTCTACACACACACATACAGAGACAGACAGACGGAGAGGGAGGGAGTACTGGGGGAGTGACGGCAGGTCAAGGAGACACAGGATGAGCAGTAGAGGCGTTGCAGGAGCAGATGTCTCAGTACACCCCACCCCCGCCCCCAACGGGCGCCACCTGACCAGGCTTGTCTGGGTGTGAGGTATAGAAATCCTGTAAGAGGGAAGGATCCAGAATGTGATGGCGGGGCACCCAGCAGTGCTCCGCAGGCCCGTATCCATCCCAGCCCACCAGGTACTGCCAGCCACGACGGCGCACATCCAGAAGCCGCCGGACGGTATAGGCAGGATGGTCATCGATGAGCCGAGGGGGTGGAGGAGCTGCTGCAGGCAGAGACAGGGGACTGGAGCAGACAGGTTTAATCAGGGATACGTGGAAGGTAGGATGGATCCTGAGAGAGGCTGGGAGTTTCAGGCGCATCGCAGAGGGGTTAACGACACAGTCAATTTCAGAGGGACCAATGAATCGGGGGGAAAGTTTCTTCGATGCCACGAAGAAGGGCAGCCCGGGCCTTCCTCCAGGTATGGTGACAACGGCGCAGATGGTCCTGGACAGAGGGAACCGCAACCTCAACCTCTTGGGCGGGGAACAAGGGGGGTTGGTAACCGATAGCACACTCGAAGGGTGACATACCTGATGAGGCGTTGGTGAGGGTGTTGTGGGCATATTCAACCTAGGGTAGCTGAGCGCTCCTGGACAAAGGGTTAGCAGAAGTCATGCAGCGTAGGACAGTCTCCATCTCTTGGTTGGCCCGTTCGGTCTGGCCATTTGTCTTGGGGGGATATCCAGAAGAAAGACTGACATTGATACCAAGAGCTGGACAGAAGGATCTCCATACCTGGGAGGTAAACTGGGGTCTTCTGTCGGAAACGATGTCAGTGGGGATGCCATGCTGACGAAACACATGGGATACTAATTGGTCCGCAGTCTACCTGGTGGAAGGGAGCTTGGAGAGGGGAATGAAGTAAGCCATTTTGGAAAACCTGTCAATAATGGTGAGGATGACAGAGTTACCGTTAGATGGGGGAAGGCCAGTGACGAAGTCCAGAGCTATGTGTGACCAGGGGCGACTGCGTATGGGAAAAGGGCAAGGCAGACCGGAAGTGTGTTTAGTGGCGGTGTTGTTCCAGGAACAAACCGAACAGGCCGATAAAAACTCCCGGACCTCTCTCTCCATGGTGGCCCTTCAAAAGCGCTGACGCAGGAAGGCGAGGGTCCGGTTCATACCAGGGTGACAGGTGGGGTGGGTAGAATGGCCCCACTGAAGAACATCAGAGCGAACACAATCTGGGACAAACAGAGCATTACTAGGACCATTACCCGGATCAGGCTGGTTCTGCTGAGCCTGGCAGATACGGGACTCGATCTTCCAGGTGACGGAGGCAACGATGCAGGTGGATGGCACAATGGCTTCTGGCTCGGTACCCGTGTTGTCAGTGGTGAACAGGCGGGAGAGGGCATCAGGCTTGGTATTCTTCAAACCGGGGCCATAAGTGAGTGTGAAATTGAATCTACCGAAGAACAAGGCCCACCTGGCTTGCCGGAAGTTCAAACGTTTGGCGGTCTGGATATAGGACAGGTTTTTATGGTCAGTCCACATGATGAAGGGGGTTACAGAGCCCGCCAGCCAGTGACACCATTCCTCCAGAGCCAGCTTAACTGCCAGGAGTTTCCCGGTTTCCGATGTCAAAATTCCCCTCTGCAGGTGAGAGCTTACGGGAAAAGAATGCACATGGGTGGACCTTCTGATCAGAGGGGGAACATTGAGACAGAACAGCACCTACCCCGGTGTCAGAGGAGTCCACCTCCACGATGACCTGGAGTTCTGGGTTGGGCTGAGTAAGGACCGGAGCGGAGGTGAAGCGACGCTTGAGTTCCAGGAATGCTGCCTCTGCCTCAGGAGTCCAGTGGAATGGAGTGGAGGTGGAGGTGAGAGTGGTGAGAGGTGCTGCCAGACGGCTGTAGTTGCAGATTAAACGTCTGTAAAATGTGCAAATCCCAGGAAACGCTGTAGCTGCTTCAGGATGGAGGGCGCAGGTCACTCTGTGACTGCCATGACCTTGGCGGGGTCCATACGTAACTGTCCCTGTGCAATAATATAACCCAGGAAAGACACTGTGTCAGCATGGAACTCACATTTTTCAGCTTGAACAAAAAGCTTATTTTCCAACAGCCGTTGAAGAACGTGTTGCTGGTGGTCATCTAAACAGACAAAAACAAAGCGTCCAATCACATCCCTCACACGTCATTGACTAGATTCTGGAAAACAGCAGGGGCATTAGTAAGAACAAAAGGCATTACCAAATAATCAAAGAGACCAAGTGGTGTGTTGAACGCATTCTTCCACTCGTCCCCGTCTCTTATGCGGACAAGGTGGTAGGCATTCTGGAGGTCGAGTTTTGTAAACACCGTGGAACCATGGAGGGGAACAAAAGCAGAGCTGATAAGTGGCAAGGGGTACTTGTTCTGAACAGTGATATTATTCAGACCACGGTAGTCTATTCATGGCCTCAGTGACCCATCCTTCTTCACAAAGAAAAACCCAGCACCCACCAGGGAGGAAGATGGCTTGATAAGTCCTGCAGCCTACTGGGGAGAGGAGCTGCAGGCTGGAGGTCAATGGCACAGTCGTACGACCGATGAGGCGGCAGTGACAGGGCATGGTGCTTGCTGAACACAGGAGCTAGATCGTGATACTCAGGAGTAACTGATGACAGGTCCAGAGGTTCTGGAATGAACTGGGACACAGACAATGCAGGGGGGAGGTTAGAATGTAAACAATTAGAGTGACAAAATGAACTCAAAGTGGTTACCTTTCCAGCGGTCCAATCAATCTGTGGGTTGTGTAGCTTTAACCATGGATGGCCAAGAACCAGGGGAGAGTAAGGACAGTCGATTAAGCGGAAACTGATATTTTCCTGGTGATTTCCAGAGAGACGCAGGATGACAGGGACGGTTCTCTCACAGACACGGGTGAGAAGCTGTCCATTGAGAGCGTTGGCGTCGAGGGGTGAATCGAGTGGGACAGTGTCCATGGCCAACTGGGTAATGGCACCTTGGTCCAGGAAGATTTCGTCGGCACCCTAATTGATGAGAGCAGACAGAGGAAAAGCCTGGCTCTAGCACACAAGGTTGCCTTCAAGCAGGGGTCTGGGGGAAGATGGGTAGGCAATTTGGCTCAACAGTATATCCCACGCTACTGCCAAGTCCCCTCTTTTGCTGAACGCAGGGAACAAGTGGAGACAAAGTGACCAACCTGGCCACAGTATAGGCAGCTCCAAGCACCGATTCATCGTTGCCTCTCCTCAGGAGAGAGACGGCCCCGGCCGAGCTGCATGGGTTCAGGATCACGACGAGCCTGGGGATGGGATGCAGTCGGAGAAGGAGGACAAGGCACTGAAGCCGATGTTATGGGACATGCAACCCTACCTACCCTCTCCCTCCGACGCTAACGGAGACGGTTGTCGATGCGGATAGCGAGAGAGATGAGTTCATCAAGTCTATCAGGCTCATCCCTGGACACCAACTCGTCTTTGAGGGTCTCAGTGAGTGCGTTCCGGAACACTCCCTGAAGGGCCTCCTCATTCCAGCCACTCTCAGCGGCGAGGGTGCGGAACTCATATGCCATCTCAGCAAAACTATGGGGGCCTTGACGGAGGGACAGGAGTTGTTTAGCCACATCCTTATGGCAGACTGGGTGGTCGAATACTTTCTTCATCTCCTCCGTGAATCTGGAGTAGGAGAAGAAGATGTGGGACTGCCTCTCCCACACCGCCGTGGCCCAGGAAAGCGCTGCTCCATGGAGGCAGCCAATCAGAAAGGAAATCTTGGCCCGTTCGCTAGCATAAGAGTAGGGCTGTTGCTCAAATACTAGTGAACATTGTACCAAAAAGGCTCTGCAAGCTCCGAGGTTGCCATCGGAACGCTTGGGAATCGGAACAAACGGCTCCTGGAGCGGGGAAGAAGGACTTGGAACTGGTTGTGAGCTCTGGGTGAAGGGCCGGCCCTGTAAGTCAGACAGGCTCTGTGAAAATTCCTTGATGTGCTCCAGAAGGGTCTTCAGGACTTGGTCATGTTGCTCGAGCAGGGCGCCTTGGCTGACGAGGGTTTGGTGGAGAGTAGCAGAGTATGCTGGGTTCATCTCTTTGGCCAGATCGTACTGTTACACAGAGTGGAACAATTGGAACCAAAGAGCAGACTCAGACTAGGAGACTGGGATGAAGTAACCAAGGTATTTATTGAAATACAGGGGGAAGATGGAGTGCAGGTCAGGGGAAACTGCTGGAAACCAGGTGTGGAGGCTGAGGCTGGAGCAAGGGGGGTTGTGACAAGGTGAGCAGGTCCGGAGGGGAATCCAAGGGAGTAGTACAGTGGGGAATCCAGGACAGAGTAGCAGGATGACGAGGCGTGGGACTGGAGACAGGGACCAGAGTCGGAGCGGCAGAACTGTAGCGGAGAGGAAAACAGCGTCAGGCAAGGAAAACAGGCACAACAGGATAACAGGATCTGAATAGTAACAAATGGCTAGAACCGTAGACTGACTGAGCAGAGATTACGATCCGGCAGTGTGGAAGTGGCAGGACTGAGTATTTGTAGAGGTCTTGATTATGGAAAAGGTTGCAGCTGGTGGGAATCTGCTCTGACTCCAGCACACCTGTCTCCGCCTACACAATCACACACACACACACACACACAGAGAGAGAGAGGGAGAGGGAGAGAGTACTGGGGGAGTGGCGGCAGGTCAAGGAAACACAGGATGAGCAGTAGAGGGCGTTGCAGGAGCAGATGTGACAGCTAATAATGAAAATAGACAATCCATTTGAGTGACTGTTTAATTACGTACTTAGTAATTCATCTATATTAGCAATTACTGCATTCGACACACACTGCATTTGGAGTACAATTATTAAATAATCTCGAAACACAACTACTGAATAGAAACTGGGTACATTTACTGAGTGAGCCTGGTGTGACGATGAACTATTATTTTATTTATTTTGCTAGCCTTGCTATTGATAGTTCTTTCGAACATTATGCTTTGTAATTGTGTAAAGAACACACACAGTTTGGTGTATTTATTTTGTTTGTCTAGACTTATTTAGTAGGTGATCAGCATGGAGAATTAGGCAACCAGTAAAAACATAAAACAAATGCATGGGCTATCGTTGTCCCGACGTGACCATGCTATCCAATCACTGAACAGTAGGGCCACGCATTATTACATACAGTTGAAGTCGGAAGTTTACAAACACTTAGGTTGGAGACATTAAAACTTGTTTTTCAACCAATCCACAAATTTCTTGTTAACAAACTATAGTTTTGGCAAGTCGGTTAGGCCATCTACTTTGTGCATGACACAAGTAACTTTTCCAACAATTGTTTACAGACAGATTATTTCACTTACAATTCACTGTATCACAATTCCAGTGGGTCAGAAGCTTACATACACAAAGTTGACTGTGCCTTTAAACAGCTTGGAAAATTCCAGAAAATGATGTCACCGCTTTAGAAGCTTCGGATAGGCTAATTGACATTGTTTGAGTCAATTGGAGGTGTACCTGTAGATGTATTTCAAGGCCTACCTTCAAAGTGCCTCTTTGCTTGACATCATGGGAAAATTAAATGAAATCAGCCAAGACCTCATAAAAAATTGTAGACCTCCACAAGTCTGGTTCATCCTTGGGAGCAATTTCCAAATGCCTGAAGGAAAAGTGCAAATCAATCCCAGAACAACAGCAAAGGACCTTGTGAAGATGCTGGAGGAAACAGGTACAAAAGTATCTATATCCACAGTAAAACGAGTCCTATATCGACATAACCTGAAAGGCCGCTCAGCAAGGAAGAAGCCACTGCTCCAAAACTGCCATAAAAAACCCAGACTACGGTTTGCAACTGCACATGGGGATAAAAATCTTACTTTTTGGAGAAATGTCCTCTTGTCTGATGAAACAAAAATAGAAATGTTTGGCCATAATGACCATCGTTATGTTTGGAGGCAAAAGGGGGTAGCTTGCAAGCCGAAGAACACCATCCCAACCGTGAAGCACGGGGGTGGCAGCATCATGCTGTGGGGGTGCTTTGCTGCAGGAGGGACTGGTGCACTTCACAAAATAGATGACATCATGAGGAAGGAAAATGATGTGGGTATATTGAAGCAACATCTCAAGACATCAGTCAGGAAGTTAAAGCTTGGTCGCAAATGGGTCTTCCAAATGGACAATGACCCCAAGCATACTTGGTCGCAGTTGTAAATGAGAACTTGTTCTCAACTGGCTTACCTGGATAAATAAAAAAATAAAAAATACTTCCAAAGTTGTGGCAAAATGGCTTAAGGACAACAAAGTCAAGCCCTGACCTCAATCCTATAGAAAATGTGTGTGCAGAACTGAAAAAGCGTGTGCGAGCAAGGAGGTCTACAAACCTGACTCAGTTACACCAGCTCTGTCAGGAGGAATGGGCCAAAGTTCACCCAACTTATTGTGGGAAGCTTGTGGAAGGCTACCCCGAAACATTTGACCCAAGTTAAACAATTTATATGCTTTACTACCAAATACTAATTGAGTGTGTGTAAACTTCTGATCCACTGGGAATGTGATGAAAGAAATAGAAGCTGAAATAAATAATTCTCTCTACTATTAATCTGACATTTCACATTCTTAAAATAAAGTGGTGATCCTAACTGACCTAAGACAGGGAATTTGTACTTGACTCCTGACTAAATGTCAGGAATTGTGAAAAACCGAGTTTAAATGTATTTGGCTAAGGTGTATGCAAACTTACGACTTCTACTGTAAACGAAAACCTAAACGTCCTTTGTCTGTCACAAATGTTGAACACAATTATATTTGAACTAACTCTACCAATTGTCTATGGGATTGGTTCTCATAAAGGGAGGAATTTAAGACAAAATATCCAAAGGAATGTATTATTACACAAACTTTCCAAACGTGGGTCTACTATTGGACTGTAGACCCACTTCGTCTCTGCTTATGGCGCACGTGCGCCATATCTGTGCAAACAGGCAATAACTTGTGGGGGCTGCGATGCAGACTCGGTGGGGAGCGTGGTGAAACAGAGGTGTCACAGTCCATCCTTTTGAGTTTTGAAACTGAGTTTTTACCCGTCATGACAGGACATATAAGTTATCCTTTTAGAGCTTTTGTGCCAAACCCACTGCAGTGTTTCAGGTGCCACGTTTATGGTCGCATCGCAGCAGTGTGCAGGAGGTTGATTCCAAGATGTAGGAAGTGTGCAGGAGGGCATGGGAAAGAGAATTGTGTAGTTTTGGTGGAAAAAGTTGTGTGTCAACTGTAGGGTTGCCCATGTTGCTGGGGATCGGAAATGTCCGGTGCGAGAGAGGCATGTTGAGGTGGCCAGAGTCAGAGTAGTGCAGAAGGTGTCGTATGCTGAGGCAGTGAAGAAAGTAGAGGAGGGTGGATCCAGGGTGAGGGATTCTAAGAGGATCCCTGTGAATAGTAGATCTGTGCCAGAATAGAGGGACAGGCCATCGAGTGATATATGCTTCAGTAATGTTGTCTTCTTAGCGTTCATAGGTATGGTTGTCAGCTGTGCTGCAAAAATGGAACGTAAATCACAGAAATTAGATGTTGCGGTGGCAGCTGCAGAGAAGTACTTTGGTGTACGTGATTTGACTTCAGAAGTTACAGGGTGTGTTGAGGGGTGGTGTCCCATCCTCCCAGGCCGTTGGCATGGTGCAGGAGCAGATAGGGTCAACGTAGTGGAATGGGGTAGTGGGCTTTTAATGAGTGTTGGGTTAGTTGGAAGGGTGTTTTTTAAATTGTATTACATTTTTGGTACATAATGTATAATGGATTTATACTATAGTCCAGTTGGGGGTGGTAATGCAAAATATTGGATGCCAACTGCCGTTAAACCCCACAGAAGAAGAAGAAGAAGAAGAAGAAGAAGAAGAAGAAGAAGAAGAAGAAGAAGAAGAAGAAGAAGAAGAAGAAGAAGAAGAAGAAGAAGAAGAACTTATGGGGGCTCTTTTATTTTGACATGATGAAAGCAGAGAGGAAGTGAGTCTACAACAGACCCAAGTTTGGAAAGCCTGTTCAAAGGGATAGTTCAAGCAAAATCTATATTTGGTGGAATTACCCTTACCTTGAGTTGTGTCTGAAGGTCCATAGTGACAGAATCCACAATAATCCATGTATTACTTCTGCCACAGCCAGGAGTTTGCATATTAGCATAGTTCAAATTCATGAATATAAACAGCCAAACCGATGTTAGCAAAGCTGCACTGCAAGCCGAAGGTTTGGTAGCGTCGATACTCGCATAGAGCCTATCCATGTTTTCTACCCCGTGGGAATGTTGTTATTTTTGCAGTAATATCCGAATATTCCAATGCTCTGATAGTTCCATCAAGCCACTAGTTAGTTTGTTCACAGCTGGTAATCAGTATGCGTCTGAGTTCCCAATTGCTTGAATTGCAGCTTTGCTAATACTGCTGCTATTTAGCTTTGCTGCTAAATAGTTAGTTAAATAGTTAACCAAATAGCTACCCGGACTGTCTTTATTTACCCTTTTTGCACTCACTTTTTTGACTCATCACATAAAATGTTGCTGCTGTTTATTATCTGTCACTTTGTTCCTAGTTAAGTACAATACATGTCTACCTCAATTACCTTGTACACCTGCACATCGACTCGGTACTGCTACCCTGTGTATATAGCCAAGTTATCATTACTCATTGTGTATTTATTATTACTTTTATTATTACGTGTTTAACTTTTCTATGATTTCTCTCTTTTCTTTCTCTCTGCATTGTTGGGAAGGGCCCGTAAGTAAGCATTTCACTGTTAGTCTACCTACACCTGTTTTTTACGAAGCATGTGACGAATAAAATTTGATTTGATGTTTGTGAACTCACTGAACTGTCTCCCGAGGTGAACGCTCGTTAATTGGTTTCTCCCTTTGGGGGTTTTTCTCAAAGTTTGTTGTTCTTCTTCTTTTTCCCTGAGATTTTATGGCGTACCACAACTATTGTGGTATTGCCGCCACCAACTGTACAGTTGTGGAAATATAAAACATTAATCCAACACACACTGCAAAAAATAACAACAAAAATCATCCCACTCCTTCAGTCATTCAACACTCCATAACTCACTACACAGGCTCTGGGGCCTGCGAGGGTGGGAACGCACAAGACAGAACTTCATGTAGCTCCTCATATGTAAAATATTTTAAACCTATAAATTGTTCAGCTGCAGAAACAATGTCAATCTTCCTATACTTTGTTTGAACTTGAGCAGTGCCATTTATCACCATTGCTATAAAAGTAACGATGTCCACCTTCTTCACATGAAGAATTTCTGGGTCCTGTTGGTGATAGGCACTCTCCGTAGGTTGTTCAGAGCTTCTCAATCTTTCTACCGTTTTGACAGCCTCTGCATAGGAGACTCCCTCAACTGCCCTGATTTTGGCAACATCGGTCTCTTTCACCCTTCTGGGGTATTCAACGGATTCCATTTCATGATCTCCATCACGGTTACAACATTTTACAGTTGGTACATTGCAAAGGCCTGGAAATGAATGCTCTGACAGGGTAGTTCCCATATCCCAGCTGCACTCGGGTAGGGAGAGACTCATCAAAAAACACAAGAACAGACAAACTCTTCTCCTTCCTGCCACTTACCACGCGATTCATTCAACATGCATCAACCTCTCCATGAATCTTCTTCAGTAGCGCAATGTGGAGTTATTCGCTACTCCAGAAATGACTCCTTTGACAGGTGCCCTGCTTCGTAGATCAAAGCACGACACATCATATAGCTCAGTTTTATTGAAACCCAATACACTTTTCTTCTGATCAAGAGGAACACAAGACATCAAAACATGTCCACTTCTCGTAGTTTTCACAGATTTAACAAGTTCAATCTAACTAAATGTAATCTAAAATGTAATTTACGTAATCCCCAAAAGTAATTATTTATCATGAGAGGGCCATAAACAATAACTAGTAATTCTGCATATTCCAAGAAAGGTTAAAATCTCACCTTTCTGGTAAAAATAGTAAAACATCGCTGAGGTGTAGTCACTTTTGAGGACACAAGCTCAAGTATACAGTACATTTATGATAGAAATATGAAAATATGAAATATTTTATATGTTGCATTTCCTTTTCAACAAAACTGTATGAATAAGTCTTGAAATGACTTATAAGCTTTCTATAATATAATATAATTAAATTATAAAACGACTAACTATAAGATTTCACCTTCCTTAACTGTAAAATACATATTTGTATGTTTAGTGTTAGAGAAAATGTGCATATTTTCTCTTGATCAAAACGTCTGCCCCCACCGCTGTGAACGTCAGACAGAGCTCTTGCTTGGCTTCCTGAACTCGTTAGGAACTCGCCTTTCATCTCATATTAATGTTGTCCGTCTATGACAAACAGAATGATTTCTTTTTTTAAACCCCCTAGAGTCTATTGAACACCGGTGCGTCATTCTAAGCAACATAATAAAAAAATCCACATAAAAATACGTCAGTTTAAGCTAGAGATATCTGTTTATTTTTTGCATGGGCTGCGTCTCAATCCACCGCATCCGCCTATGTCGCCCTTCTGCATCTACCGTGAAAAGTGGCAGAGCTACAACACTGTGTCAGACCAGGAGACATACCGAAAAACGGTCTTCTCACGAAAACGTCTGTAGCATCCAAATGGTTTTGCCTACAAACTAATATGAAGATTCACGAACACGATGGTGTTTTACGTTTTGCTCTACGACCCCCATTAGCCCCACGGGACTCGTCTAAAGGTAACCCATACAAATGAATGAAAGTATGGAGGTAGTTTTGTGCCAACAAAAATAAGGGGTTAAATATGTGTCAAAAAAATATATATATATATTTCCTGAGCTTTCTTATATCTCCTAGATATAGGATAGACACTTCAAAACCTAATTCCTTACTTCCCGCGGCTATGGTTCAGGAGATGATGGACAGTCGGGAGAGCAAATGAAATGTTAGGAGGGACATCCCAGCCTCAAGTGGTGTCAGATTTCACATCCTACATCATAAAGGAGGACGACATATACTCCTGTGTCTGAGTGAACCAGGGCTACCGCTCAATGCAAGCCATTTCGATCTATGGTGTCCACAGATCGATTTATAAGCGAAAAATGACGGTTGGAACCGGTACCAACACCACGCAGGCCTCCTAAACAGGGGACTTTACATCTACCCATTGCTTTTTCCACAAGTTTTGATATTTCAAACGGAAACACTAAGTTAGGCATATCTTGTTTACCCAAAAAACGCATTCCTACTAGATATTATGGGGTATCAGCAGCACTAGACATTTTCCCACAACAATTAAGCTCCTTTTTCCATTATTTTGGACAAAAGTCCGATTCAAGCTCCACATCCGTTTCCATCATTGTCCCTAGATCCCTGTCCCCTTTGAAATGTGTTGTAAATGTTAATGCTAATGATGTATTTTTCAGTGGCAATTGTCAAGTCTGGAGGATTTATATTAAATATTCATATTAATACTGTAGTGTCCGGCAGGATATACAGTACAATACAATTCATCCTCCCCAGGAAGAAGGTATGAGAGGTACAGTAATAAGTGGAAGGGCAAGAGTTCAGAACATGTTGTAAATTAATCTGTATTCTCCTCAGACAGCATAGTCAGCCCCAGGACCCTGCTCTGCTCTGGGGGTCACATGGATCACAGGCTGGGTGCTGCATAGCAAACTCAGGCCCTGCCACCTACAAAAGAGGGGAATAATGTGCTGTTCACTTATCAGTAGGAGAAACAGTCCCAATATGAGAGTTTAGCTACAACATCTCTTCTCCTGTAACTTCTATATGCTCATCTGAGCAGCTCTTTCTTGAGCTATGGGTACAGTAGTCAGTGATATGCAATAGAGAATGCATGAGGCTGAACTGATTGCTGCAGAGTAAGCATGATATGCTAAATGGATCAAAATGGGGGCTGAATAAGTATAACCTAGTCTGGGGTCAAAATCAGGGAAAATCTTTCAAAAACTCTATTTTGAGTGTTTGCTGGAGCCCATTGTTTCCATTTCACCAGGCAAGTTCAAATACTATTTGAACCTAGGTCTGGTTTACTAGGTGTTTATGCAGCCCTGTTGGTGGAAGGCAGGCAGCAACAGTGGAGGATAGGATAGTGTAAACTCCCCGGCTGACACCATTAGCCTGGGCTACACAGTGTAATTTAGTCTGTTTACGGCTCTGCCTTGTGTGGCCACTAACCTATAAATAACCTGTCATCAAACATATATTTTCCATGAGAGGCTTAGAGATGGCCCAGTGTTGAAGTTGTCCTATTGACTGGTTGAGCTGAACTAGCCCATCTCCCTCCCTCATCATATTGCAATTTACAGAAGACCCACTTACCTGACCTCTACCTCTTCTCCCCATGTGTCTTCTCCGCTGCACTGTAGTGCTTCCTATCCTATCCACACTATTTATTTACTATATTACAACATAATCTTGCAGGTGCAGTGAATGTTTAATCAATATTAGCATATTTGACTGTTTGGTTTCCATTGAATAATTGATATCACACACACTCTTTGGTCTGAGAATGTATGAAGACGTAGAGGCATTCAAAGAACTTCTGAGATAAAATAAAATGTATTTAAAAAGGATCGTAGAAACTAAAGAGGAGGGGAGGGACCCCGCGGGACATGCTTAGCACATAAATGGATGGGAAAAGAGGAAACTTCAGCAAAAGATATTGGTCCAATTATTTAGCTCCATTCTTTGGGGTTTAGTGCATAGCAGTATTTATTGAAGTAATCATCCCTTTTATTACTGACACGACCAGTCCGTCACATTTTAAGCTAGCCTGGTAACATATTATTTTTATTTTCTCTAATGAAATAATGATTAGAAGACCTGAGGAGACTGGCACAGTGGATTTATTGGGTGTTGAGTGATACAGCCCCTGCAGCTCTGTAGCTGAGACGCATCATACACATCACCCCCCTTGTAGGCCATTTGAAGGAGAGAGGCCCTGTCCCTCTGAGCACCAATCACTCTTCAGACGTAATGCAGTATGTGGTGGGGAAACACTCAGAGGACAATCCTCATTGCTGCCACCAAGCTGTCAGCAACAAGGGCACTGTATCCTCTATTTTGCTGGCCAC